AAAAAAAAAAAAAAAAAAAAAAAAAAAAAGGCCAATTGCTTAAGGAGAAGGGACTCCATGTGGCCAAGAGAAGGTGCAGGCCTCTTATCTCAAGTGCACAGTCAGGTTCCTGTCCAAAGAATGCTGATCCTGCAGAGTCAGAAATGAGAATTTTGGCTTCCAATAAGCAGAAGAGATGTGCTTGAGGATGTTTTGATGGTGTCACAGCAGCTTTTATCAGATCCACCTGTGCTACTGAAGTCAAAGTCTTGTGAGGAGGTAGGGATATCCTGCTCTCTGTTGTTCCAGAGCCCCTGAAACCTAGGAGTTGGGCCTTCAGTGTGGATGGGCTCGTTTAGGCCTAAAATATCTACGTGGTTAGAGACAAAGAGAAAACCCTGATTTCCCCTTCCCTTCCCTAACACCTCCCTCTCACGAGCCATGACTTTCTTACTGGCAAACTCACCTGGTCAAGAAGAGTGTCTCCTTGTCTCAAGGAAAGAACTGTGCTCGCGTCAGCCAGGTATGGCTGAGGGGGCATACCACGTTGAGATCTCTTCCCAGTGCATGTGTTTATAGCTTTGAATTAAATGTTGGCCTTTTTGTTAAGACCTCACGGATTCCGTGGTCCTTCAGTGTTTTCACTACGCTCCTAACACAGGAACAAATTTAAATAGTGCTTATGTGTCAAAAGTTGCTTTCAAGCGGCCAGAGCAAGCTGCAGTGGGACCTTATGGCCAGTTCTAGAGCCTCCAGCTGTCCTGCCTGAGCAGCGAGACTTCCGAAGTCTTCGACCCCACTGTTGAGATCACCTCTGATCTTTTTCTCTAGTGCCCTTTTCCTCACTCACATGCAAAAACCCTCAGTTGTCAAAAATTACATCCAGGGGTGGAGCCCCGTGGGTGGCTCAGTTAAGCATCTGACTCTTGCTTTCAGCTCAGGTCATGATCTCACGGGTTCGTGAGTTCGAGCCCCAAGTGGGACTGTGTGCCGACAGTGTGGAGCTTGCTTGGGATTCTCTCTCTCTCTCTCTCTCTCTCTCTCTC